GAAACGCGCAGCAGTATGTGCATGCAACCGCAGCCAGTAGCGCGGACACGCAGCTTCCACTCTCCCGTTATCAACACCGATCTGACGAGGGAGTGTGGCTAAATGACAGCTGCAGTGCATCGCAGAGGCAGGGGTGCATGGGTCAAAGTTCACAATTGAGGGGTGGTTACCAAGCGGGAGTCAGCTCGTGTGGTCTATACGAGATGGTCGGAAACGTGTTCGGATACCACTAATAAGTTATATATAATATAAAAATTATAATATAATAAATAAAAATAATATAATTATATAATTATTAATATAATCAGTTATGTATTTATTCTGCAAATGCTTAAAAGCAAAGATTCTTCCATTATCAAGATAAAATTCTACTTCTATTTCCCGCGCATAATTAGCGTGCGCACATCGGTAAGGTACTTTGCTATGTACTGTAACTAGAATTGAACTTGACTTTGTAGTTTATTGATTCAACGTGTGTAACTGGGATACACAGGATTGTCGCGGCACTCAGAATGAGTGTATCTGCATGAATATCAAATATCCATACAGCTACCCAGTGGTCAACACAGGTCGGGTGCAGCTACTATACGTTTGTGAACTACAGTAGTTCTAATATGTTTCTAAGAGGCATATGGTGCATCATTAATTAGTCATATAACAGCATTAGGGATAGCGTGCGGTAGTGGGGTCACCGATAGGCACCATGCATATGCGCAGTCCGGCATCGGTGGGTGCGTGGGTGCATATATCACGGTAATATACGCGCTGAATATAAAGCGTAGTGTGAAGCGAAAGTGTTGTGAGGTTGGAGTGGGTCACGCACGTCTCTGCTCAGGATTTATACTCGCATGTCTTGCTGCGGCTTCTTCCTCGGCTTTCGTGCCTCATTCGCTCGGGCTCTGTATGGTGACTTGGCATCACATATGGTAGCTCTATCTTCTTCTGTATAATGGCTTGGCATCACATATGACTTCACGTCGCGAAGAACGCCTAGTAGAAGCTCTAGCTCTCTGCGCTAGTGTGACACTGCGTAGAACATGACTCAGGATGTTGTAGGGTCATGGAAAAGTGTTTAACGTGCGTGTGATGGGCGATGTCACGATAGCAGTAGCAAAAACACTATATATGCTGCATATATATTTATATATATATATATTTATTTATTTATTTTGATGTAAAGCTAATGCCGTATCGCGTAGGCTTAACCTATATTTTACGAGCCTCAACATCAACATTATCATCATCATCATCATCATCATCATCATCATCATCATCATCATCATCATATTATTATTATTATTATATTGATTCTCACCATAACCCTAGCCCTAACCTGACTCTAACACTACCGCTTACTTAATCGAGACCCCAGCTTGTACATAAGGGAGTCCTAAAGTGTAGGCTTCATTTGCTGACAGCCAGTACCTTTATCATGATCATGATCATATCAAGAGCGTATTAAGAAGGGCCTTCCTAATACGCTCGTGATCATATGTATGCTCTTCTCACATAGACTAGTGTATCTCTGTGTGCAATATCTGTTTGTTTTTACATGCTTTGGCATCCAGGAGGGATGACAGCGCGGTAATGTTATGGCCCGGAGTCACGAAGAAGATGCCGTTGCTGTATTCAGAGCAGACGCCATCCATGGGAAGCCATCCTCTGTTTCTGCGCGTCTTGGGAGGTGCGTATAGTAACCTAGCTAGCCACGGTTTCCGTAGCGATTGAATGAGTGACAACAAGATTGTTTAAATTTGAACCAATTGTGATTTTTTGTATTATATTCACGTAACTAACGTTTCACGCGTTCAATGGGGTGTAAATTTGTAATAATTTTATTTATTATTAGTAATAAATTAAGTAGTGAGTTAGAGAAAAGCAGCACGGCATTTACTATATGTTGTGACATATGTAAAGGCCGTGCGCAAGGTGGACCAAGGTGGTGGGAGAAGTTTTGTAATCCTTTCATTTTCATCATGAAAAGTGACGTCTCCACACATAGAAGTGCACTCAAGGGCATTCAAGATGGAGCAAAATAACAGGAAACACTTTACCCCTCATACTAAATTAAGTGACGCGTCTGCACGCAGAGAATACAACATGGCGTTCAAGATGAAGCAAAATAACAGCAAAACACTTTATTATTCATAAAAATTATATAAAAAGGCTAATTTAACAAAATAAAAAGCTAATTTAACAAAATAAAAGCTTTACTCCACATACTAATTAAGCACGCATCTTGCACGCAGAGAAATACAACATGGCGTTCAAATGGAGCAAAATAAAAGCAAGCGCTTTATTCTTCATACTACACGTCTTCCACGCAGAGAAATACAACATGGCGTTCAAGATGGTGAGCACCGAGTGTCGGCTGGTGCGGCAGCTGCTGGCGGCGCACGGCTTCCACGAGGTGCACGCGAACAGCGGCGGCTTCTCGCTCATGTGGATCGGCTCGCACGTGAACCGCTACTCTGCTGCGCAACTTCAAGGAGCACCAGAAGATCAACCACTTTCCCGCGCTCGTACGAGGTGACGCGCAAGGACCGCCTGTGCAAGAACGTGCAGCGCATGCAGCGCGCCAAGGTACGTGCGTGGGTGTGTGTGTGCGTGTGTGTGTGCTGTGCGCTGCGTGCGTGTTGCGCGCTGAGTATGTGTCTTGTAGGTGTGTTGTGTGTGTGTGCGTGCGTGCGTGCGTGCGTGCGTGCGTGCGTGCGTGCGTGCGTGCGCGCACGTGTTTGTGGTGTGTGTGTGTGTCGTGTGCGTGCGTGCATGCGTGCGTGCGTGCGTGTGTGTGCGTGCGTGCGTTCGTGCGTGTATGTGTGTGTTTGTGCTTTTGTGTGCGTGCGTGCGTGCGTGCGTGTGTGCGTGTTTGTGTGTGTAAAGGGAGTTTGTTATGCTCCCCAAATTTCAATCCACTTACTAATATTCTAACTTTCCTAATAACTAGGTCTGGCCATAGTGACTGAAGTGAATCCATACCCCACATTACGTAGTATGTGTCCATTCCCCCTTTCAGACTAGCTATGATCTGTTCATAGCGAGTGGATTGTCTCTATACCCCTATATTATGTAGTGTTCGTCTACTTGCTTATAGTAGTTGCAGTCTAACTATCGTCCATGGCCATAGCTAGTAGAGTGAATTTATCACGCCCCATGTTAAACTTATTGCAAGTAACAATGAGCAGCAAGTTATTCACTTTGGTTTATTCATGCGGTTAGTACGGCAGGATGTGTTTAGCTGCCTCTGTGACTGTGATTCGACTGATAAAAAAAATTCTAATGATAACCCAAGTTTCAGCATTATTGTCAGTTAAATTATCGTTTATTAATGTTACTTGCAAACTTGCGTAAACATCAGTGAGAAATCAATAAAATATGTAAATTTCCTGTGTTTATCTTGGGTAATGCATTTCACGTGCTGCCTTTGGTGGCGACGAAGAAAGTTGTGTTTTTGTGTTTTTGTGTTTCATTATCAGCTAACGACGACTAGTCAAGAGAAACGAAGTGCCGCGAAGCTCAAACGTATAATTCAAGTGATGCGTAACAAAACACAAACGACTTACGATCTTTTTTCGATTTTCTCGTACGTCGGTAAACCGCGAGCCAATTAAGATTTCGCAGAACTTTTGCAATTTTCTTGTTAGACGGCGGCCGGGGTAAAAAACGCGATGTGGCGGTTTTTCATCGCTGCAAACAAACACCAGGTGGCTCGCTAATTGTGCCCACAATCGCTCGCTTACACAGATGAAGATTCCACTAGTAGATATATCTCCCTGAGTGCTACTTACTAAGAGATGAGAGGATGTACACTATATGGTGATAAATAACATGCTTTTCTGTGTTTGTTGTTGATTCAGGGCAAGAAATACTTTGACTTCATACCTGAGAGCTACCTACTGCCGACAGAGTTCCAGGATTTCAGCAGTAGGTCTAATTATGAAATAAAACTGCGTGTGGGATGGTTTTTGTGCCGCTCTGCTTTCACTGTGTTCAATATCTCAGCAGCTGTATAATACAGCCCATAAATTCACAATGTTAATCACTATATAACGTCTGCACCAGATTTCGTCTAACAAACCTGCTAATTATGCTTCCACTAACAAGTTGTCTTTATTGTCGTAATTAACCGGGTATCTTTGCCCTTAATATTTGCAATTTACAGGGCAATTTTACTTTTCACTTTTTTAGTTGCAATTAGCTTGATTATTTTTGCCCTTTATAGATGCTATTAACAGTGTAGCTTTGACCTTTATAGTTGCAATTAACGGAGTATATTTGCCCTTTATGGATACAATTAACAGATTATCTTTGCCCTTTATAGTTCTTATAAACGGTGTATATTTTCCCATTATAGTTACAGTTAACAGAGTATTATTTCCCTTTATAGATGCTATTAACAGTGTAGCTTTGCCCTTTATAGTTGCAATTAACTGGGTATTTATTTGGGGTATGTGAACATATCAATAATCACACGCATTCCTCCACCTCTTCACTAAACTCTTAATTGGCTCAGAGTGCTGGCAAAAACCTCGATAAATCGGTCTTGTTTGCCGTATCACTAGTCGTGAAAAAAACGCCCTGCAGCCGTAAGAAATTAAGCTGTCGTCAGTGCGTCGATGTCGATGGCAGTGAAAAATTTGAGGCATCGTGTGCGTGATTCGATCAGGCTATAGTTGCAATTGCTGGCAACAGTTTCTAGTTTGAAATTTTAACAGTGAACATGATAAATTGTTACGAGACAAATCAGTGAACACCCTCGAGACATTTTTGACTCTGTAAGAAGTTTTCTTTATAAGCTTATTACAATTGAAATCTACATCACGTATTTATATATGTGTGTGCGTGCGTGCGTGTGTGCGTGCGTGCGTGCGTGCGTGCGTGCGTTCGTGCGTGTGTGTGTGTCATATCATTTGTTCCCATCACTACGTGATGTAGCAACCCAATAGTGTTTTACCTTATAGTATTCATGGGCTACTTTTCCTCTTTCTTGTTCTGCTTCTTTTTTTCTTCTACTGTTGATACTAATGCAAATTAAAGTAATCCTCAAAGACTTCATACCATCAATCATACCTTAAATAATTTAAAGTCAATGATTAAAATAGATTCATAGCACTGATTGTAGCAGCAATTTAGATATAGTACCCTTTTCGTTTGTACGTATCAGGTGCCTTCATTAAAGACAAGTGTCCGTGGATCGTGAAACCTGTAGCCTCCTCGAGAGGGCGAGGCATCTCAATCGTGACTCACGTAAGTCTTGCTCTAGTCATAACTCAAGTCACGCCATAAACCCCATCACGTTGACACGCGTGCTGCCTTTAAGCTACACCATGTAGCGTAGAAGATGAATGAAGGCTGAACTGGTATAGATCCGTGAGTGATGTATCGTTGAAGATATAGTATTTCGTCGATTGAGGTTATTGAGCTTCTACTGAGATATGCGTGCTACAGCTGTGATGATGAGACTGCATCACTCCTCAAATATAGAATGTAAGAAACATATCGTCCAAATATAGCATTTATTAATAAGATTAGGAGTAGATCGACGTGAGTGTGACATGCTAAAACACTGTATGTTCATCGCTCACTAGTCTACTTATCATTTGTTTATGTTTAACTTGATAAACTTGAACTCAAAAGTTACCTTAAACATTCGGCTTTATTTAGCCTTGCCACTGATCATTTTTCCTGTCATCACGATCTAGAATACTGAAAATACATTATTGTACATACGCAATTTTATATTATTGTAGGATGCAACAATAATATGTTATTGATCTTTTGTAGAATATTACATAAACAGAATTATATAATTGTTATTATTTAGGACACAGCAATATTATAATAGTCTTATAATATAGGATATTCAACAATATTATTGTTGTTATTTCTTACAGCCTGACCAAGCTCCATTGGATGATCCTATGGTTGTATCCCGGTACATTCAGAATCCTCTGCTCATAGATGGTACGTGTAAACACTGAGGCAAGCAGACACATGCCACACTGCGTGCGTGTGCGTGTGTAGCCTATACTATTTTCAGCGTAAGTGATGCAGATATTTATGAGAAGTGAATAAACCTGTACTGATACTTGCCTGTATGGCATGCATGAAATTACGTTATCCAAACATTATTTACTCTGGTTCTATGTATAAGTCATATACATAGGTGTATACATATTTATCAATACATACTTATAATGTTCTATACATGATATCAGGAGTGCATAATGTAGAGATGTGTTAGATTATTGTTATCTCTCTATCTCTTGTGCAGTGCATGGCCACACTAACAGGCATTAATATAGGGCAGTGTTGTGAAAACGCCCTCCTAAATACGGTGTTGCGAACAGAAAAACAAACACTGGTTGTCGTCATTTCCGTCCGTTTATTATCGTTCGCCGGTGGTTTGTTGCTGCTTGTTGTTGTTTATTACCGTGCGTGTAACGCAGTAATGTTGTTGTTTATCGTTAGGAGCTGTACGCGCCACGGAATGCGCGCAGGCAGTGCGGAAATGTAAGCCTACATTATTCATGCCACCCCTCCCCCAGAATGTGATTATAACCCGCTTCCCACACATAGCTGGACCTTACATAATGTTACGCCGTGCACCAGTGCTAGCCCGGCGCGCGGAAACGCGCAGCAGATTGGCATGGCAACCGCAGCCAGTAGCGCGGACACGCAGCTTCCACTCTCCCGTTATCAACACCGATCTGACGAGGGAGTGTGGGCTAATGACAGCTGCAGTGCATCGCAGAGCAGGGGGTGCATGGGTCAAAGTTCACAATTGAGGGGTGGTTACCAAGCGGGAGTCAGCTCGTGTGGTCTATACCGAGATGGTCGGAAACGTGTTCGGAATACCACTAATAAGTTATATATAATAATAAAAATAATAATATAAATTATAATATAATAAATAAACATAATATAATTATATAAATTATAATATAATCAGTTATGTATTTATTCTGCAAATGCTTAAAAGAAAGATTCTTCCATTTATCGAGATAAAATTCTACTTCTATTTTCCCGCGCATAATTAGCGTGCGCACATCGGGTAAGGTACTTTGCTATGTACTGTAACTAGAATTTGAACTTGACTTTGGTAGTTTATGATTCACGTGTGTAACTGGGATACACAGGATTGTCCGGCACTCAGAATGAGTGTATCTGCGTGAATATCAAATATCCCATACAGCTACCCAGTGTCAACACAGGTCGGGTGCAGCTACTATACGTTGGTGAACTACAGTAGTTCTAATATGTTTCTAAGAGGCATATGGTGCATCATTAATTAGTCATATAACAGCATTAGGGATAGCGGTGCGGTAGTGGGGGTCACCGATAGGCAACCATGCATATGCACAGTCCGGCATCGGGTGGGTGCGTGGGTGCGTATATCACGGTAATATACGCGCTAATTTAAAGCGTATGTGAAGCGAAAGTGTTGTGAGGTTGGAAGTGGGTCACGTCACGTCTCCTGCTCAGGATTTATACTCGCATGTCTTCGCTCGGCTTCTTCGCTCGGGCTTTCGTGGCTCTTTCGCTCGGGCTTCTGTATAGTGACTTGGCATCACATATGGTAGCTCTATCTTCTTCTGTATAATGGCTTGGCATCACGTATGGTAGCTCTATCTTCTTCTGTATAATGGCTTAATTGGCATCACGTATGGTAGCTCTAGCTATTTCTGTTGCCTGGGTTGGCATCACGTATGACTTCACGTCGCGGAAGGAACGCCTAGTAGAAGCTCTAGCTCTCTGCGCTAGTGTGACACTGTGTATGAACATGACTCAGCATTGTTGTAGGGGTCATGGGAAAAGTGTTTAACGTGTGTGTGATGGGCGATGTCACGATAGCAGTAGCAAAAACACTATATATGCTGCATATATATTTATATATTTATTTATTTATTTATTTATTTTGATGTAAAGCTAATGCCTGTTGATCGCGTAGGCTTAACCTATATTTTACGAGCACCAACATCAACATTATCATCATCATAATCATCATCATCATCATCATCATCATCATCATCATCATAATTATTAATTATTTATTGATTCTCACCATAACCTACGCCCCTAACCTGACTCTAACACTACCGCTTACTAATCGAGACCCCAGCTTGTACATAAGGGAGTCCTAAAGTGTAGGCTTCATTTGCTGACAGCCAGTACCTTTATCATAGATCACGATCATATCAAGAGCGTATTAAGAAGGGCCTTCCTAATACTCGTCGATCATATGTATGGCTCTTCTCACATAGACTAGTGTATCTCTGTGTGCAATATCTGTTGTGTTACATGGCTTTGGCATCCAGGAGGGATGCCAGCGCGGTAATGTTATGGCCCGGAGTCACGAAGAAGATGCCGTGCTGGTATTCAGCAAGCACACCTCATGGAAGCCATCCTCGTTTTTCTGCGCCGTCTTGGAAGGTGCGTATAGTAACCTAGCTACCGCACGGTTTCCGTAGGCGATTGAATGAGTGACAACAAGATTGGTTTAAATTGAACCAATTGTTGATTTTTGTATTATATCACGTAACTAACGTTTCACGCGTTCAATGGGGTTAAATTTGTAATAATTTATTTATTATTAGTAATAAATTAAGTAGTGGAGTTAGAGAAACAGCAGCACGGCATTTACTATATGTTGTGACATATGTAAAGCGCGTGCGCAAGGTGGACCAAGTGGTGGGAGAAGTTTTGTAATCCTTTCATTTTTCATCATGAAAAGTGACGTCTCCACACATAGAAGTGCACTCAAGGGCATTCAAGATGGAGCAAAATAACAGGAAACACTTTACCCCTCCATACTAAATTAAGTGACGCGTCTGCACGCAGAGAATACAACAATGGCGTTCAAGATGAAGCAAAATAACAGCAACAACTTTATATTCATAAAAATTATATAAAAGCTAATTAACAAAATAAAAAGCTAATTTAACAAAATAAAAAGCTTTACTCCACATACTAAATTAAGCCACGCACTTGCACGCAGAGAAATACAACATGGCGTTCAAATGGAGCAAATAAACAAGCGCTTTATTCTTCATACTACACGTCTTCCACGCAGAGAAATACAACATGGCGTTCAGATGGTGAGCACCGAGCGCTCGCGTGCGGCAGCTGCTGGCGGCGCACGGCTTCCACGAGGTGCACGCGAACAGCGGCGGCTTCTCGCTAATGTGGATCGGCTCGCACGTGAAACCCTACCTGCTGCGCAACTTCAAGGAGCACCAGAAGATCAACCACTTCCCGCGCTCGTACGAGGTGACGCCGCAGGACCGCCAGACCCTGTGCAAGAACGTGCAGCGCATGCAGCCGCCAAGGTACGTGCGTGGGTTGTGTGTGTGTGTATGTGTGCTGCCGTGCGTGCGTGTGCGCGCTGAGTATGTGTCTGTGTTAGTGTGTGTGTGTGTGCGTGCGTGCGTGCGTGCGTGCGTGCGTGCGTGCGTGCTGGTGCGTGCGCGCACGTGTTTGTGTGTGTGTGTGTGTGTGTGTGTGTGCGTGCGTGCGTGCATGCGTGCGTGCGTGTGTGTGTGTGCGTGCATTCGTGCGTGCGTGTATGTGTGTGTTTGTGCTTTTGTGTGTGTGCGTGCGTGCGTGTGTGCGTGTTGTGTGTGTAAAGGAGTTTGTTATGCTCCCCAATTTCAATCCACTTACTATATTCTAACTTTCCTAATAACTAGGTCTGGCCATAGTGACTGAAGTGAATCCATACCCCACATTACGTAGTATGGTGTCCATTCCCCCTTTCAGACTAGCTATGATCTGTTCATAGCGAGTGGATTGTCTCTATACCCTATATTATGTAGTGTTCGTCTACTTGCTTATAGTAGTTGCAGTCTAACTATCGTCCATGGCCATAGCTAGTAGAGTGAATTTATCACGCCCCATGTTAAACTTATTGCAAAGTAACAATGAGCAGCAAGTTATTCACTTTGGTTTATTCATGCGGTTAGTACGGCAGGATTGTTTTAGCTGCCTCTGTGACTGTGATTCGACTGATAAAAAAAATTCTAATGATAACCCAAGTTTCAGCATTATTGTCAGTTAAATTATCGTTTATTAATGTTACTTGCAAACTTGCGTAAACATCAGTGAGAAATCAATAAAATATGTAAATTTCCTGTGTTATCTTGGGTAATGCATTTCACGTGCTGCCTTTGGTGGCGACGAAGAAAGTTGTGTTTTTGTGTTTTTGTGTTTCATTATCAGCTAACGACGACTAGTCAAGAGAAACGAAGTGCCGCGAAGCTCAAACGTATTAATTCAAGTGATGCGTTAACAAAACACAAACGACTTACGATCCTTTTTTCGATTTTGCTCGTACGTCGGTAAACCGGCGAGTCAATTAGACTTTCGCAGAAACTTTTGCAATTTTCTTGTTAGACCGGCGGCCGGGTAAAAAACCGATGTGGCGGTTTTTTCATCGCTGCAACAAACACCCAGGTGCTCGCTAATTGTGCCCAATCGCTCGCTTACACAGATGAAGATTCCACTAGTAGATATATCTCGCCTGAGTGCTACCTTACAAGAGATGAGAGGATGAGTGTATGGTGATAATAACATGCTTTTGTGTTTGTTGTTGATTCAGGGCAAGAATACTTTGACTTCATACCTGAGAGCTACCTACTGCCGACAGAGTTCCAGGATTTCAGCAGTAGGTCTAATTAGAAATAAAACTGCGTGTGGGATGGTTTTTTTGTGCCGCTCTCGCTTTCACTGTGTTCAATACTCGCAGCTGTATAATACAGCTCATTCAGAATTCACAATGTTATTCACATTATAACGTCTGCACCAGATTTCGTCTAACAAACCTGCTAATTATGCTTCCACTAGCCAGTGTCTTTATTGTCGTAATTAACCGGGTATCTTTGCCTCTTAATATTGCAATTTACAGGGCAATTTTACTTTTTACTTTTTTAGTTGCAATTAGGCTTGATTATTTTTGCCCTTTATAGTTCCATAAGCGGTGATATTTTCCCTTATATTTACAGTTATCAGAGTATTATTTCCCTTTATAGATGCTATTAACAGTGTAGCTTTGCCCTTTTAGGTTGCAATTAACTGGGTATTTATTTGGGGTATGTGAACATATCAATGATCACCACGCATTTCTTCCACCTCTTCACTAAACTCTTAATTGGCTGCAGAGTGCTGGCAAAAACGCTCGACAAATCGTCTTGTTTGCCGTATCACTAGTCCGTGAAAAAAAACGCCTGCTGCAGCCGTAAGAAATTAAGCTGTCGTCAGGTGCGTCGTATGTCGATGGCAGTGAAAAATTTGAGGCATCGTGTGCGTGATTCGATCAAGGCTATAGTTGCAATTGCTGGCAACAGTTTCTAGTTTGAAATTTAACAGTGAACATGATAAATTGTTAACGAGACAAATCAGTGAACACCTCTCGAGACATTTTTGACTCTGTAAGAAGTTTTCTGTATAAGCTTATTAATTGAAATCTACATCACGTATTATATATGTGTGTGTGCGTGCGTGCGTGCGTCGTGCGCGTGCGTGCGTGCGTTGGCGTGCGTTCGTCGTGTGTGTGTGTTCATATCATTTTGTTCCCATCACTACGTGATGTAGCTAGCCAATAGTGTTTTATCCTGAAAGTATTCCATGGCTACTTTTCCTCTTCTGTTCTGCTTCTTTTTTTCTTCTACTGTTGAACGAATGCAAATTAAAGTAATCCTCAAGACTTCATACCATCAATCATACCTAAAATAATTTAAAGTCAATGATTAAAATAGATTCATAGCACTGATTGTAGCAGCAATTTTAGATATAGTACCTTTTCGTTGTACGTATCAGGTGCCTTCATTAAAGACAAGTGTCCGTGGATCGTGAACGCTGTAGCTCCTCGAGAAGGGCGAGGCATCTCAATCGTGACTCACGTAAGTCTTGCTCTAGTCATAACTCAAGTCACGCCATAAACCCCATCCACGTTGACACGCGTGCTGCCTTTAAGCTACACCATGTAGCGTAGAAGATGATGAGGCTGAACTGTATAGATCCGTGAGTGATGTATCGTTGAAGATATAGTATTTCGTCGATTGAGGTTTTGAGCGTTACTGACAGATATGCGTGCTACCAGCTGTGATGATGAGACTGCATCACTCGTCAAATATAGAATGTTAAGAAACACTATCGTCCAAATATAGGCATTTATTAATAAGATTAGAGTAGATCGACGTGGAGTGTGACATGCTAAAACACTGTATGTTCATCGCGTCGACTAGTCTACTTATCATTTGTTTATGTTTAACTTGATAAACTTGAACTCAAAAGTTACCTTTAAACATTCGGCTTTATTTAGCCTTGCCACTGATCATTTTTCCTGTCATCACGATCTAGAATACTGAAAATACATATTGTTACATACGCAATTTATATTATTGTAGGATGCAACAATGATATGTTATTGATCTTTTGTAGAATATTACATAAACAGAATTATATAATTGTTATTATTTAGGACAGCAGCAATATTATAATAGTCTATAATATAGGATATTCAACAATATTATTGTGGTTATTTCTTACAGCCTGACCATGCTTCCATTGATGATGCCTATGGTTGTATCCCGCCGGTACATTCAGAATCCTCTGCTCATAGATGGTACGTGTAAACACTGAGGCAAGCAGACACATGCCACACTGTGTGGTGTGTGCGTGTGGAGCCTATAGCTATTTTCAGCGTAAGTGATGCAGATATTTAATGAGAAGTAAATAACACTGTACTGATACTTGCCTGTATGGCATGCATGAAATACGTTATCCAAACATTATTTACTCTGCTCTCTCTCTCTCTGCTCTCGTCTCTCTCTCTCTCTCTCTCTTTCGTCTCTCTCTCTTCTCTCTCTCTCTCTCTCTCTCTCTCTCATCTCTCTCTCCTCTCTCTCTCTCTGCTCTCTCTCTCTCTCTCTCTCTCTCTCTCTCTCTCTCTCTCTCTCTCTCTCTCTCTCTCTCTCCTCTCTCCTCTCGTCTCTCAATCTCTCCTCTCTGCGTCTCCCATCATCTTCCCGCGATCAGGCGCCGTCTAGCCTCTACTCTCCTGTAGCAGTCATCGAAATATCTGCTCTCTCTCTCCGTCTTCTCTCTCTCCTCTCTCTCTCATCCTCTTCTCCTCCCTCTCCTCTCCTCCTCTCTCTCTCTCAACTCCATCGTTCTCTGTCTCCACTCTCCGCATCTCTCCTCTCTTTCCCCCTCTCCAGTTCTCTCTCTCTCGCTTCTCTCCTCCTCTCGATCGTCTCCTCGCTCTCATCTCGTCTCCTCTCTCTTCCTCTCTCTCCTCTCATTCTCTCTTCGTCTCTCTCTCTCCTCAGTCTCTCATCTCCTCTTTTTTCTTTCTGTCTCACCTCTCTCTCTTCTCCTCTCTCCTCTCTCTCCTTCTCTCATCTCCTCTTCTCTCTCTCTCTCTCCTCTCTCTCTCTTCCTCTCTCTCTTCCTCCCTCTTCTCTCATCTCCTCTCTCTCTCTCTCTCTCTCTCTCTCTCTCTCTCTCTCTCTCTCTCTCTTCTCTTCTATATATATATATATATATATATATATATATATATATATATATATCACACAACATCATAGGTTCACTACACCACACTATAACTTCACAGTATCATTAAATATGCATCACATTCATGTCACATTGTCTCATCTCACGCGAATCTTCTTCATCGTCTCAGGCTTCAAGTTTGATGTGCGTCTGTACGTCGGCGTGACGTCGTACGACCCTCTCGTCGTCTACCTGTACGAGGAGGGGCTGGCTCGCTTCGCCACTGTCAAGTACGACGAGACGTGCCGGCAGTACCACAACCAGTGCATGCACCTCACCAACTACAGCCTCAACAAGAAGAGTGACAGATATGTCAGGTAATCGAAGATCTGCACATGGGACTGCGTGCATAGAAAATGCCATATTTAGTCCATTAGCATGTATAATACTAGATATTTGTGCTATATGCTTATATAGTACTAGATATATGCACTATAATGACTATATGCATATTTAACACTAGATGCAGTCTCACAAGAATAGTGATAGATATGTCAGGTAATTGAAGTTTTCGTCTATCTATAGTTCTCAACTATTTGTTGTTACGATCTCATTGCCTGCTCCCTTGAAATTTTCTTTGTGTATTATTGGAAATATTTTTCTATAAAGAAATCAGTATCTTGAAAACCCAGTTACATGGAATGTATTTTTATCAAAAAATTGGTCAAGCAGTAAATTTACCATATTTAAGAATTTTACTTGCAGCCACAAATCGGAAATTACAACATCAGTGCAAGCGACGTTACACATAGATTCAGAAACTATTACATGCATTGAGAGTTTCATCACATATATCAATATATGTTTCATCACGTAGATTCAGAAACATCTACATGCATTGAGAGTTTCATCACATATATCAATCTGCATGCATTGCTGCGCAGGATTACATTGTGGAGAGAGTTAAAAAAAACAAATGAATTAAAAGGTGCATTATTTGTGTGTTCTTCTTGCAGGTGCGAAGATCCGGACATAGAGGATTTCGGAAACAAGTGGTCGATGAGTGCTATGCTGCGATACCTGAAGTCTCAGGGACACGACACAACTAGTGAGTAAATATATAGCTAATCGAAAAGAAATCAAGTCAATGAACAATATCATATGCAATTCAGTGAAGAAGCTTATAATTGTGCTATCAAGTACCAATTACTTTACTCACTGTATTCAAACTTGCGTGTAAAAGATAGATAGCGTGGAAGACGTTTTAAATGTTAATATAGGCGCTTGGTTGTGCTTGGTACGAGCTGAATCATTTGGTAGTTTAACAACTGTAAAATAGTGATAATTGTAAACCGTATCACAGAACTAATTAAAAACTACCAGCTCCACTTCTTCATTCCCTTACTATATTTTCTACAGCATGTTAGAAGAAGAATTTCATCAGATGCTTACTCAAGCAGTTCAATTAGTTTAGGTTGCATATAGTAAAGGGCGAGTATATGTAAAAGTCTAATTAAGTCATTCGTAATGTATTTTTGTGACTAATCACGTGATGAATAGCATCTATATACATGAAATACCACGTATCTGTCCATATTGTGTAGTAATATTTATAATTTTATTTAGAGTTTATGGTGATTCTAGACATCGAATTCCAAGATTCGTAAATCGCACATGTGTGCCTGACTCGGATGTATTTTTACTCAATTTCAGAGCTGATGGCAAGAATAGAAGATCTCATCATAAAGACTTTGATCTCAGCAGAGCTGCCGATAGCTACTGCTTGCAAGATGTACATGCCCTACCGCAGCAACTGCTTTGGTAAGACTGCAGCCACTAGAAAATTTGGTTTCAGGGCAGGAAAATTACTCCTAGAATAAAATTGTTCCAGTAATGTTAGTGACTGGAAGATTGTTTCAATGAAAATTCGTTCTGGAAAAACTAGTAACAGGAAAACTGTTACAAAGAGTTGCTTAGGAGAGAAGGGGTGAGGAAAGGGGACGAGAGGAAGGCATCTTGTTCACATCTGCCTTCTTCCTCCTCCCCACCTATATATGAGATTTGTTTTAAACCAATGCATTCATGTTTGGTTTCCAATTTTCCCTGAAGGTTAATGCAAACACATCTCTTTGCAGTGAAAGGCAATTGCTAAAGAAAATAAAAAGAGTGCCCACATGTTGAATACGTTGTGAACCATTCACGCGTTGGCAAACACACTTACATGAAAAGTTTATAGATAAAGAGTTCAGTCGGAGCGTATTTTTCTGTGTGTGTGTTTATGCTATGTAATTTTTTTCAGAGATCTACGGTTTTGACATTTTAATCGACGATACGTTTAAACCTTGGGTGCTGGAGGTGAATTTATCTCCTTCCTTAGCCTGGTATGTTTCCACACATCAGTTTCAAGTCTCACATTCACTGCCCATCCTCCTATCATCCTTAACTAATATTTATGTGCAATAATTATATCATTGAGCCTTATACGTATTCATACAGCAATTCTAATCTCATATTTATAGATAGTCTTGTATTCCTGTGTGATATTTGTATACATATATCAGTTACACGCTAAAGTTGGTGTTTATGTTTCGTGCAGTGATACTCCCCTGGATCTCAGAGTCAAGTCTGGAATGGCTGCAGACATGTTCAATTTAGCAGGTATTGGAGATGCTATTTCCACTCTGGTACTATACTTTTGGATCTATGCTTGAAATCTTCAATGGTGTAGCTAATGCACAATAAACGTATGAAGCCTTTAAAACGCAATATTCCCGTTTAACCCTTTTTTCTGTGGATGGCTAGTTAAGAATAGACTAATAGATATTTCACTGCATTTACTTTTGCAGGTTTTGGCCTACATGATCCCATTACATCGCAGAAGTTCCAACAGGCCAGAAATAGCATTATAAACCAGCCCTCTGCAAACAGCACTCGGCCAGTAAATAACCTAGCTGCACCTCGTAAATTATAAGGGGTATATAGGTCTGGAGTAAAAGCAATAGTGCAGATGTAGGTTAATTCAATGTAGATAGGTACCTGGTAATATTAGATGGGCATATATATTATTACCTATCTGCTCTCGCATCGATCTCACTTCAACCATCCCCTCCAGTTACCCGTGTTTGAAACCGTTTAATTGGTTGTGCTGCTAGTTACCAGTTTCATTGCAACAGTATTAAATACTACTCGTATTTAATTCCAAATAGTAACAGTGGCTAGAATTATTATTTGATTATTTTCAAATCCAGCAGCTTAAATATCTCTGAAAACCGACATGCACGTTACACACAGTTACGCATATTCTCTCACCGAATCTATCCCCTGTCTCTGAACAGGCACCGTAACAGAATAACTACTTACCACGCACATCTAATAAATGTGACATAATTATAATAATATAATAAATATGAAAATAATAAAAATAAAAATAAAAATAATAAATATTTTTATATAATGAGAATTGTGTGTATAATAAACATCATAAATATAATAAACATCATAAATATAATAAATTCGCCGCTGTGTGACTCTCTCTCGCGCAGAAGCCACGCACACAGCAGATGCCGTCACAGAGGAGGCGGCATGTCGTGCGGTCGAACCTGTCGCCGGACGAACGCCGCGTGCTGCGCATCGTTCGGGAGGAACATCACCGCCGCGGCGGCTTCGTGCGAATCTTCCCCACGCCCTTCACCTGGGAGCAATACTCGTACGTGCACGCACCCTGGCTCTCACCTTCACCCTCACCCTCACCCTCACCCTCACCCTCATCCTCACCCTCATCCTCACCCTCACCCTCACCCTCATCCTCATCCTCACCCTCACCCTCACCCTCGCACTCATATAGGAACAATGTGTGTGCATGGGAAAACACTTTACTATCTCTAGCTTCTATCCCTCTCTGGACTGCCATAATGTTTACTACATAGCTGTTTACATCTTATCGATATATTCCCAGTTTTGCATTAGATACATGTCTTCTCATTCTCAATTAACATATGTAAGTTGTACAGTTGTAGAGAAGTCACACCTGCAATCGTTTTGGAAGGCATCTTTCCCTATTTGCATTCGGTAGCATTCGGGTTATTATGTAGTAGTGTGGTGAAACTGTGGGTGATAAAAACAGTTGATGCCAGCTTACATGCACTATCGTAAAAGAATGGTTTCACGACTTCATCTTGTGTTGCAGATCATTCCTGGAGTTCAAAACCTCGTACAACCGCATGCTGCATGAGGAATTGTTCCCCGACCGAGTGTAAGTGATAGACAATGCTAGCACCCAACTCTTTAACAACAAAACGTAAACAACAACGAAAACCGAACACCCATACAGGAACGCAATAACGCATGACACCAAGACTCTATTTGCTTTGAGTTGAATGTATAAGTAGCAGCTCTGAAAAGGTTCGGCAGAGTATTTTAGATATGCTCGTCTTTTTTTGGCAGGAAACCCAGCTCGGCAGTGCTCGGAAGAAATGGCAATAACGTCGGTGTGAGGAAAGACGTGCTGGATAGAGTGGAGCAATACGTGAAGAAGAAAACCACAGATCTAGCTTGTGATCTCACGCCGACTTGTGAGTTTGTATAATTACGGCGATTGCGCCTTTGAAATGGAATTTAAATACTTTTTTGGAGCCCTCAAAACTTGTGTTGTGTATGAAACAGTCTTAATTACGGCTTGGTATGTTTATAGGATTCTTTGTTATTATAAATAATGAGTGGGGTTTGCAATAGCAAAGTGCAGCAATGTAAACATAGAGAGGACTGGGGGGCTTTCATGAAATTTCAAAATGTTTCTCAAATTTTTACATTTTGCTCACTAGTTAGATCGACCATTATTGCATTCTGCACATTGCACTTTTTATAGTTACACAGTAGTGGTAATTAATACTCTTTCCTTGGGTTTCAATACATAATCACATGTTATAGTACTGTTCTAGTAAATCAAATTGCTCTCTTTTCTCCAGGGTGCGAAATTAACGCGAGTCCGGAGTCTAATACTCCCTGATTTACTGTTGGACTCCCTGATTTGACATATGCAGGAGTCCGTGTGACTCCCTGAAAATTCTGCTATACTAACTAGTTCGTTCCAGAGCACGGCCTCGCTTTTTCAGCAAATCTTTAATTTTGAACTTCAGTCTACTGACTCCTTTATTGTGCTGCGGACTCCCTCTTTTTGAGTTGGACTCCCTTGTTCAAAAGTTAATTTCTACCCCTGTTTCTCTCATTTTATATTGGAGAAATTTGTGATCTTTACTGCTCATGGTGTGCAGTAACACTGTGTGTGAAGTGCGCAGGTCAACATGGTATCATATTTAAATCATGCATACGTGCATACCCTGTTACCATAGGCGTGCGTGTTTTATTATATTTACGTTTCACAGACGGCGTGTGCCCACCGGCTCCCGGACTGCAAAGTCTACCAGCTTGTATAACAAGTGAGAAGCCAGCGTTCGAGCTAGTGGCATCGCCCCATGAAACAAGAGACAGTTCAGACCAATCCGTTTCCTATGTATACTCCATCGAAAAGAATGGAGCGCAGTTAAGGTATGTAAGAGTGGCACTGTGGTTGTTAATTAAAAACTGTATAGATAAGAGGAATCAGTGCGCGCTTAATTACTTCCACTGCACCATTGGCTCTGTCTGTTCTAGTACCAGCTTAACTAGTTCCAGTAACAACTTAAATATTAATCTTATACTTTAAAATTGTTCAGTTGAGACAGTATATATGTGTGTATGTGTGTGACACCACGTGTGTGTGTGTGTGCGTGTGTGACACCGCGTGTGTGTGACACCACGTGTGTGACACCGCGTGTGTGTGACACCGCGTGTGTGACACCGCGTGTGTGTGACACCGCGTGTGTGTGACACCGCGTGTGTGTGACACCGCGTGTGTGTGACATCACGCGTGTGTGTGTCATTACAGCAAGCTGCAGGCGAGGAGAGCATTCGCTGCGTACCTGCAGTGTGTGGGCAGCAAACTGCAGCAGGAATCCGTTCCTGACAACCAAGCCGAGGCACAGATCGTGAGTAGGCCTACACATGAAACACTCTTAACCTGTGTCCTCTTGCATGCAGTTATCCGCGGCACTGTCTGACTTTCACATCGTACGCGACCTTCCTTCTCCCTTCATTCTTCTCCTATATTGAGAAAACAGTTCTGGAGGAATTCTCCTAGTTGGGATATCCGGTGTGAATGTTGAATGGCGTCTAAGGTAGATAGCTGTGTAACGGCAGGAGAGCTGACACTTACTGCCTACATCTTTCCTTCGTAATTGCAATAGTATTATGCATATAATTTAACAATAATGATAATTTATAAATAATTTTAAAAAAATTTAAAGACAATAGCGACCTTGATCACTGACATTCCGTTATCAAATATTTGTATACACATAATTATTCATATGTATTTTTCTTTCCCCATCAGTTCTATTAATAAATTTATTGCTGACATTGTGTAAAGAGGATATGCCAAAGCCCTTGAAACACATCCAGTGAATTACACTCCGTGGTGTTAACCAAGACCTGTCACTATAACATTGATGATTATTTCTCGGAATAACTGTAGAATTGATTGCAGTAATTTGCATCTGTCGGATGTTGCTTTGCAGACGTTAGTGCTGCGGTTTCTTAGGAAGGCCATAGTGAATTTGGAACAACCCTTTCTGCTGGTGGAACCAAGCAATGATCTCTCCGTGACCGAACGTAGACTCTCCCTCGCAGTCATCCTTGCCAACTTTGTAGCTGTTTACGCTAAGGTATCATAGCTTAAGGTGTGACGTGGGTACCAGTCTAGTGACCTGTGGCCAATCTTGTAACCGGTTTACTGGGCAAAAAAAGTTTATTTCGCATAATCACCTGTGAAACGTGTCGCAAATATCATATTTGACTTTTAACTTTTAATGTTATATATTCTTATATCATCTGAAGGAACATATGTAATGTTTATTTTTTTTGTAGCATATTTCGGTTTGAAGCCATATTGTTTAATAGTAATAATATCTTGGCACAAATATTATTTAAAGAATTTCTATATTTTTTATAGGATTTGTTTTCTGTTACTATGTGTGAAGGAAATGAGCTAAATCATAATATGGTACTTTAACTTTAAGACTTATTATATTGCTTTATTCACTTATTTATTATTATTATTATGTACTTTTTATTTATAGGAGACAGAGAAGTTGATTTTCCTCAAGAACATCGGGAATCTGCAGGGTAGAGGTGACTATACTCCGTCTCAGGGTATCTCTGAGTCCGAGTTTAACAAATTTCTGAAGAATTCTAGGTGCGTATAAACATGGTTTATTATGTATAGTAACGAAATTATTTTAAATTTTCATCACTAGCACAAATAATAAGTACCCGTATACCTATAACTTGCTGCAGTTAAACTTTCATATGTGATAATTATATAAATATAATGTATGCTTTCTTTTTAAGTAGCTTAAAGGTTCAAGATTATTGGTTTACAGTTGTAGACTTCTTTTTTTAAGTTATCGTATACATATAGTGTGTGCAATTTTCCATCTTTGCACAATATCGAGTAAAGTTGAATCAAACGTGCATGATAAAACTGGCCACAGCAGTCTCGAAAATCTTTCCATCTTAAAAAAATTTTCCTCTGCAGTGAGAACCAGCTGGAGGACATTCTGACGACCTACACGAAGGTCAACAAGTCAACAAGTATCTTCATTGGCAGCGTGAATGGCCGGCACCCGTCGCACCTGCCACGCGGCGTTGTCGCTCCCCTCGACGCGAGGGGCTACTCCAGCTACCCGCAGTCAAAAAACAGACCCAGTCCGAAATCTGCAGGTATGGGCATTGTTATCTAGTATGTAACATATATATGTACATATATATATATATATATATATATATCAAGTGTAAAATTATCACTAATATTTTAGACAATTAGCTGTGCAACTTGTTTTTGCATGTATCCTGTACCGAAACCCATGCACTTAAAACGCAGAATTTATTGACTCACTAAATCGTACTCTCATCTGCTTATTTGCTTACCCATAGGTGTGCAGGTTGCAGCCGTATATAGTAACAAGGCAGTCGGCCCGTCAGAACGACCTCAGTCAACTTCAAGCAATAATAAATCAGGTACTCATCGATGTTCTCTCATATACACAATCAAACTTGTGTCAACGGACACCTAGGCTATAGAACGGACACCTGTTTATAAAAATATACTTTTGGAATTTCCTATAAATCCCAGGTTTGATTGTACTAAGTATCTCCCAATTTTCGTGGGGGATTCCAGCAACGGATGCTGCGTTTCAGTAATTATACGTCTAACACTCATTAGCATTTCTGTAGCAATCCCATACCGATGTATATCGTACATACCATTATTTTCTCATAACTGAGCCGTTCTTTTATAAGAACTATGGTGACTATGATTGCCATTGAGAGTTGGTGCTGGTGGTGGTGGTGGTAGTAGTCATTATTTAATATCATGACGACTAAAGCCTCCGGAACATTATAGACATTAAAATTTCAAAAATGCTGCCCATCACTGCGACGACTGATCGAAATAATCGCGTGTCGCTACCGATAAACCGTCCTTCTGACAACGTCAGCCTTGTTGACAAACGTCAACGTTTGCGACGTTTCAGCGGGGAGCCACGCCAGGGCCGCGCGCGCCCGCTCCGCGCGCGCCTACAACGAGCCATCTCCCCCACGCGGCGACGACTCCCTCAGCGACGCCCTCAAGCGGCTGGCACTGCGCCAACAGTGCCGCCAGTACACAGGCACGAGCCACGCCGCGGCGGGCGTCGGCGGCGTGCCCCGGCCGCCCGTCGCCGCAGGCGACCTGCCGCTCAACATGGAGACGATGGCGGGCCGCGAGCGGACGTACGACGCGCGGCCGACGATGCGCGACGCGAGCGACTCGGCAGAGGGCAGCACCAGCCACGAGCCGAGCCCCGAACTCGTCACGTGCTGGCACCACGGCGAGCTGCGGAAGCGCGCAGATGGCGCCGGCGGTCGCGGCGACGGAGGCAGGCGGGAGGCGCTGGCGCGGTCCGACGATCCGCCGCTGTGCAGTCGCGTGGTGCTAACGAGCAAGGCGTGGATACAGCCGGAGACGAACAACTACGACGCAGAGTAAGATGACAGCGTGAGACGTTTATCGTGTGATAGCGAGATCTCATGTCCTCCTGTATGTCTTCGTGTATTCCTGCGATAGTATGAGTGAGGACGATGATACTTGCATGTGTATATCTCGCATTGCAATTTTGCAATCTCGAGTAAGGCAGTAGCAGGAGAGCATGAGAAGTCGGTGAGCGCAGCAGTAGAGATGTTGTGTTCTCCTGATGATGGGATAAATGAAGATAATGATATTCAAAGTGACTATGTTGCATGATCTCAAAATGTCCTTTGCTTCACAGCCACTGTAGTTAGCTGGTTTTTAGTGATATTTTAAGTGGTAACATAATTTGCTGTCTGTATCCCCAAAAAACTGAAGCTGAATGGAAAATTCTCAATCACTTTCAATATCAATTCCATCAGTTTCTCAGTTAAAAATACAGATGTTCAAAATAATTTTCGATGTCAATGCACTGACATTTCTCAGTACAAAGTAAGATAGATGTGGAGTTTGGTTTACTTTCTGTGTTGCTACCTTTGAAACAATGAAATATTCGATCACCATGTAATAATGATGAACGCGATAACAGTAGTAATATGCTTGTTTTACACTTCCACGCTTCTAGGATAGAGGAAGAGTTGCATCATAAAAAGCTAGTGAATATACTACACGTAGGTGGCGCCACCACTGCAGAACCCCGGCACTCTGTTCCCCGACCGCCTAACAAGCCTCTGTTAGACAGCCAGCTAATATCTAGTCATAGGCGACTAAGGTCTGTTAGGGGAATATTCCTCTATCACTCCGCACTCTAACATTACATAATAATAGCAGTCTAATATTATCTATTATTATTCACTCCTTATAATAGTAATTAATATAGTAGCATGAACGATGATAATAATTATGGTATATAGGTAATTGTAATAGTAATTGCACCATAAATACTACTGTTAGTATATTCCACAACCTTGATAATAGTTACGGTAGTTGCAAGGTTGATCGCACAATCACACCCAGCTATCTACCTATACTAATGCCAACACCTACATCTAAACTTGTTATAAGCTACATACCATACCCTACTGTAATCTACAATCTATTTATCTATCTATGTATTTATCTATCTTTCTATCTATCTATCTAACTATCTATCTATTTGTTCATCTATCTATTTATCTATCTATCTCTATTTTTAGCTCATCTGACATAGTCAGATGCAGCTTGTAGAATCGCATGATTGTCCGTGCGTGCGTCCGGCCGTCCGGCCGTCCGTGCGTCAACAGTGGCGCACGAAATCTAAACGGCTCGACGTACGGATTCGAAAGTCGAAAGTGGGGGTAATCCGAAAACGAGTTGGGATGTCGAAGCTGGGGGTCAAATGTCAAAGGTCAAGAGTTAAAAGAAGGGAACATTCCTCCTTAACTAAGGTATAGGGAGGAAATGCCAGAATTGCAGCACAAATCTAAACGGTCGACCTAGCTCGTGATAGTCGGTGTATAGCATCATGGTAGGAAAAGCCATCACTGTGCCGAAATTGGAGGTCACAGTCAAAGGTCAATGGGCACAGGGCAGATTTAGACATTTTCTGAGGACATGGTCTGACGGAGCGATTGAAAAACTTTTTTGTTTCAGCGGTGACCCTACCATTTTTATGGCTTTATTGAAAGGACCATAAAATGTACTTTTCCGCTGACATGCAAAGAGTAAGTGTCGGATAACCTTTTGACCCTCAAGAGGAGGGTTAAACATGATTTGTTGACTGTTAACAAAGGACTGCACTGCTTTCTATTGTGGATGTGAGGCTACAGTTGCACAGTTCAATTGCAAAGGCAAATGTTTGTTGAATAAGGTTTACGCTCCTTAAATCATATTATTTTCTAAAGCAGTCTGTATTAGCACCCTGTATTAGCACACTGTAATGAACCCTGAACGCTCGCGTGGGTAGGCAAAAACATGGGGGCAGCATATTGCGCATGCATGGGGGTGAACTGTCACTATTCTAATCATAATTATTGCCTGGCAACCTGCAATGCAGATGTGTTAACTCACAGCTGAGCGAAAATTCTCGCCTGCCTGAATATACTTGGATTTTAGCCGGTAGGATTTCAGCAACTCAATGGAGTAAGGTTTACATGCACGAAGGGTGATGCCATCTTTGATTATTGATGACACTTGCACGCGCCATCTCGCGCAACTGCTTTTGCTATTAGAGCCCCTCCACCCGCCCCTCCCCCCTCTCTCTCCCCCCACCACCACCACTACGCTCGCGCCGACGCATATCCATGATAACATGTTAATATAGCGAAGTCATTAAAGTTACGACAGCTGTATCTTTATTACTGTACTACCGGTATAGCAAAGCCTAGCAATCATAGATTTTAGATCTGTATTAGTAGTATCCTAGATATATGCTCTGAGCGCGAACGCGGTGGCGGAGGGCGCACTTGATTTTGGCCAGTGAGTTTATCAGAAGAATACCCGGCTACAGTACACGTCAGTTGAGCGCTGTCGCTCTTGCGGCACTTGTTCAACTATCTATCTATCTATTATTCTATTTGCTTATCTATCTATTTATCTATCTATTTATCTATCTATCTATATATATATATATATATATATATCTACCTATCTATTTTTTAATCTATCTATCTATCCATTTATTTAGCTAGCTATCTATCTATCTATCTATCTATCTATTTGTCAATCTATCTACCTATCTATATCTATCTATTTATCTATCTATCTATTTTTTATCTATCTACTAGTCTAACCTGACATTATGATATTAATTAATATAAACCTAATAGCATAGTCACATCGTCATATACTAAGTTAATCTAGCCAGTTTCAGTGCAGCGATTAACGTAATATGAAACTACGATGATGTCCCATTGCAGAACGCTGGCACAGTCATGATGCATGGAGTCAACAGGCCGTGGCGTACCGGGAGGTAACACACGTATGGCCCCTTGCTGCGATCCTCAAATCCTCTCATCATCTCACGACGTGTGCGTTCTACATTGCTAATAGAAAAATCTATGTAGTAATATTGCGTAAACATATATATATACATGTATATATATATATATATATATATATATATATACAAGGTGTAGACATGTCTACTTGATACGATGTATATAAAATGTGTTCTATATACATTGTATCAGGAGTAAATGAAAACAAACAGATTGTTTTTATTCACTTCTGATTGTATGCATGTTATATCAGGAGTCTATCAATATTGATAGACTCCTGGTTATATATGTAGTTATACACATTGTATAAATATGTTCTTGCTGTAGTGATGTATAAATACATAGTATACATATATGTTACTATATATATATATATACAAGCGCTGTGGAATCACAGCCTCTTGCACATAGTGTACATATACAGAACAGTTTCTAGCTCCGCAAGAAAACGTGCGTGATGTGTGCATGTAGCTTCGTTTCCGCATTGCTGATATTGATGTGTGCGCCCCCGAGTGCCTGCCTGGCCGTAGCTCTACCTGTGTGTTAGCACTTCGCCGCACGAACGACTACGTAGGTAGAGCTAGCCTGGTCATTGTCGCGTCTGCCAACCTGTGACGTCTCATGTTTAAGCAGTAATTTGTTAGTGGTGAACGCAAGGCTTGCGTTATGGTGCTTGGTGATGAATCCGTGAATGGTCATGACAGAGTCTGTGACACCGTGTGATCGTTTCATTGTCTTATGTCACAATATAGATAGGCTCAAATGTAAGATAATAGATAAAAAAAGATAGGGTACGTTTTGATTACAGAATAAGATAGATTTATAGAGAGATGTACAGATTGAAATTGTGCTGTCTTACTACTGCTAGGTTCGTTGTGTTATCTCGGACTGCTTCTTGACAGTTGTTGTAAGAATCCGTATGTTTCGAGATATGCCGCTTTATGGTGCTATCCTAGACGACTTCTTGGCATTGGCTACACACTTTTTCAAGAGTTACTCAATTTAAAATAGCTTTAAATTCAACGTCATTTATAGCGAAATCGTAAGAACTGTTAATCGAAAGACAGAGGGCTGTGCGTCCGTGTTTTTGCAGCATGTATATATATATATACATGCAGCAGTGTATATATGTAAGCCGTGTTACCAACAGTAACTTACACGCATTGTCGCAGTAAAACGAATGCAAAGCCACTCTAATCATATTAAACTCCATAACCCCGGCAGTTTTGTTCTGAATATGTGTATTGAGTACATTTAAATTACCTGCTAATCCCGCAAGAGCCCTTTGCTATTGCGCCTTAAATAGTTTCTTGTAATAATATTAATATCCACGAACTTTAACGCATACGTACCACCTGTTGCATTTAAGTATTTGCATATAATATATATGAATAGTTTTGTAATATAACATAATATTATACTTCCTAATTTATTTGCGTGAAACGAAAAGAATGGCATTTAATTGTAGTGTGTATGTGTGCTTGTTGGGACCACTGATCTCTATATACTAAGTGTTGTAATAACTATATAATTAATGTTAGTAGTGAGTTCATGAGTTAGTAGAGAGATCAGTGGTTGGGGCGGATTCATTTATAGAGGTAAACGAGCAGAGACTGCTTCTGAAATGTGCTCGTATAAAATTGGCTCATTCGTTGATAAAATAATATTGCGTTCGTTCGCTTCATCACGTTTCCTTTCTGTTGCAATGCATGAATGTGCCAAATCAAAGTTATAAACATATTGGCAGTTGTCGACAACAATGATTGGTGCTATCCTAACGTTCCACAGAAACCGTATAACGATAGGTATGAACGGTTAGATCTAATTCCCATCTCTACACTAGCTTCAAAGTGTTTTCTCTTAGTTTCAATTATTCCATTGCTGGCAGACAGTAGTATAAACAGTTATATAGGCCTACAACTATTAATTTGTGTTATTATACATATATATATATTTATTTATTTATATAATATATATATATATATTCTGCTAGCTATAAATATATTAATTTATAAGTCCCTATTCTGGATTCGAGCGCACAAAAGTACAGGTCGTATACCAGGAGAACGTATAAAACAATGGAAAACTCGGCTAGAGTGCGTTATTATTTGTATATTAATATTAAAATTAAAATACAGTATAATAGTAGTAATATTAATATACAATAATTTACAGTAATGTCAGGCGGTCACCCAACGAGAGAACATAGATTATAGAACGATTTAACTAGTTGAGAAACAATCCTATCAGGTAAGAATTTGACGATACATTTAGTCCCGTTAGTACTTACTTTTAATGTAAAAAAAATGGCAACAAAATTTTTACAAATATCACCATAGAAAATTTGTGACGTAGTCAATTGAAAGTGTCATTACAATATTACTGATACTGCTAATCACCGTTCCAAGAGTATCGATCCCAACGAATTGCTAAATATTCAATCTCGGTTGATAACTAGATATATGTTTAACACATTTAAATAGATGCAATAAAGTCAAAACACAACTGGTGTTCATTTTCGTAGTTATCTAAAATCATATAGTTATTGGGTGTGAACCAACTAAATGATTCACATCATAAACCTATGTATATACAGAAATCACTTTTTGAGAACATATAACTTTCGGCGAATTAAGAAGCATAGGATGTGAAATTGCTTCCTTGAAAAGGGTTGATCATAGACAGTTTTTTTTATCTACCATCTACAGTTCGATACCCTACAAAACTGAAGCATCTATGACCTCTAATGACATGAATCTCTGTGGGAGCATCAATGCGATAATACTAAGCACTATAAGTGCCGCAATTTCAATAAAACTAATGAATACTTTGCATTCAAATATGAGAACACGTGTATATGAACAATTTTCGCTATAAAATATCAATTAATAATGCTACATTAAATATTTATAAAGCGCCAAAGCCATATTCATATAAATAGCACTTCTCGCTAGCGAAAAAGTTTTGGCTTAAAAAAGGCTAGCCACCTGGTGGTCATCTACCGTAGTATCCCTTTGATGTGTGCCGCATCCATCGGTGTTGTGGATGATGCCATACATTAGGGGGGCAGAGCCGTATATAGAGATATCTCTATATGCGGCTCTGTTAGGGGGTACGAGTCATGGTTGTTCCATGATATATCAGGGATAGTTTTTTATTTAACGTTTATTATTTAATTATTATAATAACATGGTTCCCACAAAAAGTGAATTATTTTTTCAATAACTTTTCAATGACATGTTTTTTCCAAGGACAGTCTGTGACAAGTCGTTTTAGCTTTTTACAGTCATCATATATACCTTAGATTTATATATAAAGTAAAAGTAGTTGTTTTACACGAGTGCCGACAGCAGATTAAACAACCGCTATACCTCGCTGATTACCTATGTACACAATAGTCGTTTCATGTTGTCATTCACGTAGATTCATGTGACGGTCCTGTGACAATATGTAAAGCTTTGATGATGTAGCATGTATCACTCAGAACTATATATCACACAATGTACTGTATCACTCGGAAATTTTATTATTTTAACTGCTCAACACTATTGCATTTATCAGATTCGTATCCGGCGCTATCCTACAAAGACTGTCTTCAGTACATGTATTTGTAGTTGAATTACATGAATAAAGATTTAATAATAATAATAAACAGTTGCCGGTTCTTTATGCTGCCCTTTCATCTGCTGTGTCAGGCAGTAACATTAACAGTGAATCACTTATTCCTTACTCCCCTCTGCGGATGGTATCGCTCACGGCGTCAAGAACACGTGAAATGTTTTTGCCAGCCAATGACCGGTATTTCAGCCGAAACTTTTTCACACCCCGAGGCCACAAAATGTGAATTTACGCCTATAATACACGCGCACGCGTTGCGTTGCGACCATTACCCGCGTGTGCGCGTCCGTTAGTGTGTGTGTATGTGTGTTTGCGTGACTGCAAAAACGCGTATTATAGCCGTACCTCCACATTTTGTGCTTTGGGGGGTGAAAAAGTTGAGACTGAAAACCTATGGAAGGCCATTACCGCCAAAACCTACCTATTTTAATTGCGCTTAAAATGTATTTTAAGCGCCGATTGAATTCCAGCAATCAGAACAGTGGGTTTTTAATCACGATTAAAATAAATTTTTAAGCGCGGATAAAATAGGTAGGTTGTGTTGTGCTTGTGTGTGTGTGTTGTGTGTGTGTGTGTGTGTGTGCGTGTGTGCGGTGTGTGTGTGTGTGTGTGTGTGTGTTATTTGCGGTTACTTATCTAAAGGCGCGTATTCTATTCATGTACATAGATCGTTTGCAACGTAAGCGTTGATAATTTCATGAGTCAACTTATCAAATTCAAATCAAAGAGCAATACTGTAGACACGAGGTTTGCATTAATTAAATAAGTTTATAATTTTACCACAACTCCGTTTTAAGATTACAGGCCAGCAGATTGATTCTTGTAAATTACTCACTTAGCAGCAACGAGGGGAGATAGGCGAATGTGTGAAACACGAGTCTTCACGACCAGGCGTTTGCGCATCAAACGCAACGGCTAATGTTGTGTTTATGCATCGGGTAGCAAGATTGTTTATACACGACTTTGCACACGAGCCGTGCGAGCGGGGCGGAGTCTAGGAGTCGCTGTTCTTTACAATAGAGGCTTACCCCTCCCTGGCTGGGTTCGACACGTCCGGTATGTGTGAAACCATGCGCCGCGCGCTGCTATCATGGCTATTAATTACCCACAAACAGGCTTGTGTATTATAAGAGATCTGTTCTAAAAACGGAGAACTCTGCTGCGGTCTCTCCGGACGGCCGACTGCGGTACAAAGGATAGTTCCTTATTTGGATGGGTTTGTGGGGATACTAAATTAAAGCGTATATATAAGACAACTCGAGCGGAGTGATAGTCAGTCTCTAACATGTGCTTGTGGCCTGCACCGTGACGCGTGCAGTCGTTTATTTGAAGTCTCAGTACGTAAGTTATTCTTAAGCGAGGTTGCTTAGGGTTCTTGCCACTATATCTATATTGCTTTTATTTGTACTTATCTTAGTGAGCTGTCTTCTAGTACGTGCAATAATCTTTCTTATATTTCTAACGTAGTTTCTGATAGCTGTTGTAAGAGAAGCACTTTGCACCGTCTTAATTCTCAGGCACTCTCCTTCGTACTATCGTGTTACCATTCTTACTTACTGCAAGAGCTTTCTTGTATAAATCTTATTCTTTGTGGCACTGTCTCCACTCTCTTGTGCTTGATAT